TTTGAAACCGGATAAGTTCTCTGAGTGCTCAGGTCACATGGCTGCACCTGGCATGTGTCACATCTGATCTCAATGTCTTGCTTTGAAATCATTCCTAAGCCATCACTCCTCTGGAATGACATCATCGCTGAACACTGCAGTAAATGTATCCTATATCCCCGTGAACAAAGTTCCTTATTCGTCTTATCCTCCCATCTATATCAGGATCTTTTAGTGTTAGATTCATGACATGTTTGGTGCAAAATCCTACTGTTTTTTTGTTTTTGTTTTTGTTGCTAGGTTATGATAAGATGACTGTGCCAGATCTTGTACACTCTGGGTTAATTTTTATCACAAGCAAACTTGTGCAGAGAGGACATCCTGTTAATGATAAATTTGAAAGACTTTGTTGTTTGTTCTCCAACTGCAAATGAGCTGGACATAGCACTGAAGGCCTTTCAGGCTAACAGAGGCCTATTTGACGTCATGTATCTTCCCCTTTGGCCTATATTTATTACTGAGAATATCAGATTTGGCACTGGATATTTTCTGGCTTGTGATTTTATATTTCAGCTTTGTGTGGCATCTCATCAATCAAATTCGTGCTTCGAGCACCAGCCACGAAGTTTGAAAGTTTTTCCTCTTTCTTTCTCACAGTTCCCCACAGCTGTGGTGAGTGGGCAGATTTCCTAAGAATTATGACCTGCGACGTCATACAGTGAGGTTATATTTCATTGGTCTCTGAGATCAGTGAAGACATTGTACTCCCATCTGGCCTGACAGGTTTGTTATGATCAATTGGGCCGCCGCGGTGAGTCAGACAGCTCCACTTCCTCTCTGCTTGAATCAGCCCCAGATCATATTCAGCTTGGTACTGTGCAGGAAGGACAAGTCCTTTTGGTTTGTGAAGGGCTCAAGTTCCTCATTTTCTTAAGGAGTCTTCTTTCCAAGAAAAAGCAACAGACTTTTTTTTACAGTATAGAGTTGTCTTCAGTTACAAGCAAAACAAACCACACCCTGTTTTTATGGTTCAACTCTTATCTTATGTTATCAGTAATCTTTGAAGCTTACCCATAAATCCTAAGTCAGACAGAAACACGTTTTTGAGAATATTGTGAAGCACCTACAAATATGGTCTATGGTCCTAATTATTTGGTGAAAACTCTTTGAAACCAAGCTGTCAGTCACAAGTGACTATCCCAGCAGAGCTTTATGACATCGGGGTGGAAATTGCTGGAAGGCATCGGTCAAGCTTTCCAATGAAAGCAGGTTGCAAGTGTCCTTGTGGGGCTCTTGTGTTATTGTTGGCCTGTCTGTAGAGGACAGCAACAGTGGAGATGAAAGGTCTTTTCTATGTTCCACACACACCTAGTGCCGTTTAAGCACGCATGGCTTGCGTAATATACATAACGGTACTTTTTCTTGTTCCCTTGGCATTCCTTGCAGACATAACAGAGTTATGAAACTGTACCTAATTTGTAGGTGGAAGTTTAGGAGAATATTGAGGGTTGAAGGACAATGTCTGATTGGCGTGATGAGGCATATGCGTACATTCCCTTGTGAGGTGATGTTATAGTTCTCATAATAAAAGATCCCATGAGTCATAGACGAGCAGGGATATATAACCTCAAGAATTATGCTGTTTGCGAAAGTACCAAAATACCAGTTGGGAGCTTCGAAACAGGTTATTCTTCGTTTCAGTATACAACATGTCATATACACCTAGGATGGCTTGATATTTTTCTCACAAAAACGCATCGATTTGCTTCAGGAGGCCTTTATTAAAACCCCCTGGAGCCATATGGAGCACTTTTTTATTATGGATTGGTGCAGTTTATTGGACTTTGGACTATTGAATATCACCCATTCACTGCCATTATAAAGCTTGGAGTCATATAAACCTAGGATGGCTTGACGGGGACTAAATCATGGGGAAATTTTCATTTTTGGGTGACCTATCCCTTTAACTTTTAAATCCAAAGGTTAAAACAGAAGATTCCAGAATATGACGATATTTTTGTTTCACAACACGAAGGAAGTGTTTTCAGTAATGTGACCAGTTGATGAGCTTTGGCGTGAGTGTTCACCAAGCTTGCAACAAGTTGCTTGGTGGTTTCCATTCCTGTATTCTTGTTGGCCATGATTTCCTGTGCTCTGTAAAACTCCCTGCAGTTCTGACTATACTAGAATCACATCATGCCGTTTAGTCTGCCCACTGTCCTGCTGAGTAGGAAGCCTCACAGAAAGGTCATTTTTATGCCTTTAGTTGTCAGACAATCACCCAGTCACTGGAGTACAGCATTTGGTTCGCAAAAGGATATCAACCGTTTCTACTGCTCGCTGCAGTAACTCCATTAGCTGAGGAATGTGTTGGGGAGGAAAGGTGTGGTGGCCAGGGACGTCCTGTGGGGGGTACGGGAAATGAGAAGGGGGTGTTTTATTAAGGCTTGCAGATCAGTGTACATTGGCAAGCACAATGTTTCGCAGTCATTATAGGCGTGCCCAGAAATCCCCTGCAAACGTTCCGCTTAAAATAAAAAGCAGGTTGACTTTCGATTGTCTTGTCTGCTGAACCTTTTGGTGTTTGTCTGATCGTCACGCTCGTCTAACTCATCTTTCAGTAGCACAAATTATATCAAGTGCTTTATCCGCACAAGTCAAGAGCTGAAAAACCAGTCCGGTCGCACCTCATGCGTCCTGCTCCCTTTAGGTTGAGTATGTCATGACCACCAAGTGTGACAGAACTCGGCTAGCACATGACTCAAAACGAGGAACAAAAACCCTGATATTACCACACGCCACACCCTCCCGTCTTGCTTATCCACTCACCAAGGACACCATGGGCCCACACAGTGCAGTTTACTTTCTCCCTTTGATGTTTTGACAAATTTTCCTTCAAAATACACTTGATTGATCTCTCAACAAGTAGAGACGGTCTGGTTGGACCTCAAGGATACATTTAACCTGTTCTTCTTGTTCCATGTCCTCTTTCAATGTGTTGCTCCACATGAGAGTGAGGACACACAATCCCTCACAGCAAGGGAGGTAGAGTTGCTTTTTCTGTCGCATTACCTCATCGGGCTGGTGTTTATTTTGCCTTTTTTCATGCTCCGTTGTGCAGAGGCATCCGTGTTAAACCTGTCCTTCCTGATTTAGTTCTTTACATATTGCTCATGGTGTCAGAGAACCCTCAGAGAACTGATGAAGGCCACATCACTGAACCTATAGGTGGCAAAGCTGATGTGGTGAGCTGCAATTCCTTACATGCACTCAACATCTCAACAGGCCCCGATGAGGTGCTCTTGGCCCCTCGTTTACAAAGCTCTTACTAGCTTTTATTGTGGTGAACAGGGATTTAATGGGCTCTCGGCTTGTAGTTAATTGGTCTGATCTGAACACTTGACAGAATCCTTTATAGGAAAGTCTGGGAGTATTGTTTTCCATTTGCATCAGTGCTTGTTAGGATGGTGAAGTAATTCAGCTAATGACCCTGTTGGTGTGACAGTTGGCACATCCAAAGTACTGGAAAGACTAAGCTCTGTAATAGAAGATTTGTCTTATCATAAGGTCTCATTTATACGGTTGGTTGTGAGAACAATATAGACATAGATTTATTTATTCAAACTTTATTTTCTCTTCAATATATAAGCCACCTGTCCAAACAGTCTTGTCCATAAGATATCTAATTGATGCACTAGTTAAGCAGCTGTTACTGGGTTAATCTGTTTAGCATTGCCCCATTCAGAGCTTTAAGTGTGCTAAGGTCAGGTTAAGGATGTTACTAACCCTAAATGTTACTAAAAGTAGCACAGGAATGGATTTATGAGCAAATGGACAGTTCTTCCATACTAACTTGAGATGCTTCAGGATAGTTGACTAGTCTCACTAGTGAGTTTAAGTAGATTTTGTGTTTTTTGTAATACTTTTTATTGGCGTTGCTTTAATGATCAGTTTATAGACAGGAAGAGCATGCTAACATTCAGCATGGGGAAAAACCCTCTCTGAGAATTACAAACTTAAATATGGTTTTATAGTTATTTATTTAGAGGTATTTAGTTGTGTTGTCAGTTATCGTAATGCAAGTCTGAACCTAGTGTAGAAAGAATAATACAATTATTATATAGTGTTTTTGAAAATGTGTAGGCCTAGTAGTGTGGCACATCACTGATACAACAATAGCAAAGTAACAGAAATATGTTTATTCTCAGAGCTTTAGGGCTTTATTATAAACCTAGGAATTGAAAATGGTGTTTAGCCTTTAAGTAGATGTTTTCTAGGTATGAAAACAGTGCGAGTCATTCCCTGTAATGTTCATTAACAGTGCACACAATGCAAAACCACCTGTTATTGCAAACACTCCAGGCAGTCTTGGGCCGTGTAGGAGGGGAATTATGACTGTCTTTAACAGTTCACAATATTCAGCCTCTGAACTGTTAGCTGAGATGGCCCTTGTTCCCTTATAAGGGGATCTATGCTTTTGTTTTGAGCTAGGAGCGCTCATGAAAGCAGTTCAGCTTCTTGGTGATATGACCATGTAAGACCAGAGTGCACTGCACACGTTTCATACAATATTCTGCTGGTTGTAGCTGTTAAGAGCTGTATTGTTCCAGGGAAAGTGCACTATTATAACCACTTAAAGGGATCTTATCTTGGTCATGTAATTGGATGTCAAAGAACAAGATGCATTAAAATATCAAATAAATGCATCAAATAAAAACATTGAAAATGCAGTTATTTGCTTACCTGCTGGGTATCCTGTTGATGTCCTGCTTCATCTGAGAAGTATAGCGATTATCTGCATTTGACACGTGGATGTCACCAGTTAGGAGGGTGTATATGTAGGTGTTTTGGGCCCCCGCATCAGAAACAGTCTCTTGACAAAGAAGCCTTTGATTTGAATGGCTTCATTATTCAGCAGTTCTGGAGGTGTACCTCTTCTGTTGTCAAAATGAGCTGCGCGGTTGACCTGTGTGCTGACTTTTCTGCTTGCTAAATGCTTGTATTCACTGTCTGTGTTTCAGGATGTGGAGAAAGGGAAAGAGCTGCGCACTCATCTCACTTACGAGGACATCAGACAGAAGGTCGAGCAGTACAACACAAAGTCACGTGACCACTTTAAAATGACACTGGTGAGTTAACGGTCAACCTCCACCATCCACTAATAGACCAATAGAAACTAATCACTCATAAATCTAATCGCTAATAATTTTCAGAATTCAAAAGTCCATCCACATTGTTCTTGAACAGAAGTGTTTGTCAGCACATACATTCCTCCAGAAATAAAATTCTGGATTTATATATGCAGATGTATGTATGTATATAAAATATTAATATTTTGAAAAACATTTTGACGTGATGAAAAAAACTTAAAACATGAAATCATATTGTGATATTACAGACCCCAAAACCCTCTTATGACCCCAAACTAAATGGATTAACTTAAGAAAATAAAACTTGTTAAAAATGATCAAAGTCTCAGAATTATGTATGATTATCCCTTTAATAAAAAGCTTTATCATCATCAAATGGCACAGACATTAAAAAAACATACTCGCACAACAAGAATGCAAATTGCATTTCTAAGAACGCCAAGACTGTATTTTTAATATAGATTTTTTCTTTTTTCTTTTTCATAGTATCAGAGTTAATTATCATTGTTGCTTTAATAAAATCTTTATCATCATCTCTGTTGTAATCTGTTCATCATGACTTCTCATGGATCATGTGACAGCCATAAGGATTGTGATGTCAAAACATCAGACTTTACCACTGTACCTTTGTCCAGAGCCCAGCTGCTTATCGCAGGACTGTTTCTGTCTGGATAATACTAGTTCTTTAACTAATACTGATCTCTGACAAGACATATTTCAAGAGAGGTGTGTTGTCTGGACTTAACTGAGCCACCATGGCACAAACACTTTGTATTAGTGTATGTGTGCTTTTACTCATTAAGCGTCCACGGTGTCTTGGATCATTAAGTTTAAGGCCTGTGTTCCAGCGGGGTTGTTTGTCAGTGTGGTGGAGTTTCAGAGGAGGTTTGTGAGCTGTAATTACACCCCCCCGTGTCTCGCCTGTAGCCTGCAGTCACGGCTGCCATTTGAAATAATGAGCTTACAGACAGAAGAAGCTCATCTGAGCTCCATCTGGACAGAGTCAGATACCACAGCAAGATGTGCTCACCAGCGTTGAGGAAGCTGCTTTGAAACTGAAGCTTGTCAAACTACAAGCTACTTGAAATATTTAGCAGTTTAACTGTAGTTAAGAGGTTAACGACAACAGTTTACTAAGAAAACCTTTAAAACATAATTATTGAAGTGTCTGATTATTCATAAAACCAAAACTGTATTTATTTGGCAGTGTTGTAGAACTAATTAACAAAATTGAATCAACATAGAACTAAATTGAGATGAATAATGACACTATTGTCTTTTTAGAGCTGCTTTACAGCTGAAATAGTATGTAATCGTTTCATAATTGAAATATACATATATAAATATCTATTGAACTAAATTGAATCATTGAATCAAAATTGAGCTAAATTGAGCTGAATAATAAAACTTGTCTTTTTAGCTGAAATTGTATGTTTCATAATTAAAGAACTTTTCAATATTATACTATTATTTTCTAATCACTGTGAAGCTGCTTTGAAACAATCTGTATTGTATAAATCGCTATAAAAATTAATGTGACTTGACTCACAAATTTACTTTAAATGCAACTAAAATATATAAATAAATATATACAAATATACACTGTAATAAAATATGTAGAACTGAATGAAAACATTTATTTTTATATATTTTTCAAAAAAAAAAATGAAAACATTTATTTTTATATATTTTTCAAAAAAAAAAAAAAAGACTTTCAGTGTACTGACAACTGAACAAATGAATCAGTGTTTTGAATCAGTTCATTGAAATGAACTACCTGAAAGGAAACGATTTGCTGAAATGAATCAGGCTTTCTGAAAATTACTTGAGAGTGGAAATCTTTAAAAACTCATTTGATAATTGTCCAGAAATGTGTCCTTAAAAACAGCAATGTAGCATTTTCTCAAACTAAACTGCTGCTCACTTGTGAAAAACACTTATTTAGCTACAGTTGATCATGTCTTTGCTGTTGTAATCATAATAATGTCTGTCTTTTTCTTTCTTCTGTCTCTGTGCTGCAGAATACTAACGGCATGTACACAGGCCACTTATTTAGCTACAGTTGATCATGTCTTTGCTGTTGTAATCATAATAATGTCTGTCTTTGTCTTTCCTCTGTCTCTGTGCTGCAGAATACTAACGGCATGTACACAGGTTTCATCAAGGTGCAGTTGGACCTGCGGAGGCCCATTACAGTGAAAGGAGGCGGGGCAGGAGGGGTCAAAGGTCAGGAGGCGTTTTACCTTCCGCGTGGCTCCATAAACACATTGCATATCAGCAGCACCAACACGGTGCGACAGGTGATCGAAGCGCTGCTGAGAAAGTTCACCGTGGCCGACAACCCCGCCAAGTTCGCCTTGTTCAAACGCTTCAGCAGAGAAGACCAAGGTGAGATTCGGAACACGAAAAAATGCATCAGCGTATGTGTGTGTACAGTAATGACTCAGGTCCCCTAGTGTATGCAGTATGTGGTTTGGCAGGACCAGATGCATTCCTGAAATAGATCAATCTGAGGAACACGTGTGTATTTATGGACGCACTCATACATTCAGGACAGGCCTGTTACTCTATGTGCACGTATGTGCCAAGAATACACCATGCCATCGTAGTAAACACACATACACAACAGCGGATGTCTGTAGAAACCTGTTGAATGCTCTTGGCAGATACTAACCAGCCTCGTTTCCCACATTTCAATGCCATACAGGGATATTCTGCGTTGGGGATGGGTCAGGATGGTCGACTACTGAGTTTACTAGTAGTGCCTGATTGATTTTGAATAATTTTTTGGCTCTATACATCAAACAGTGGATTCCTGAGAAGCTCAGCATTGGTTTTACTCTAAAAATGTCAGTGTTTCTAATCCATCTCACTGCTTTGACGGACCCCAGCCACTGTCTGAGCCCCTGTTGACGCCACACACACAGCAGGAATCCAGACACACATATGGCTCAGGGATTTTAAGTACCTGCTTTAATAATCTATGTGCTGGGCTGGAATGTGCGCTGGCTCATGTGAAAGAATGAATCATTATAAGAACCGACTCATAAGAGTCATTCATTCATGAATCAGACTACACTGGTCTGGATATTTTTTGTTTGTTTGTGCATACAGAAAGCAATAGAAAGACGACTTGTCTTTGTATTATTTTTCTTTATGCAGTATTTAATCTTCAGACTGCAAATCTAAAACAAAATGGCTTAAACATCAGGCATTATCATGGGGAAGAATCTGGATATTATCTTATTTAAAAAATTCTGTCCTTTAAATCCGATAATCAGTTATTATTTATTTATTTATTGTTTCCTCTTAGTGGTCTTTGTACAATTGGTTTTCTGTATTTATTTTCTATATAAAATTACATTTATTTTTTTATTTCATATTCTCTATAGTGCTGTATAATGTACTTGTTTTAATATACTGCACTTTCTAAAATCCATATAATGTATAGATAAAATATAATATGTAATATTATTTTAACATACTGCACTTTGAAATACTAAAAATATGACTGCAAAGTCAGATTTGCACTGCTGCTTGATTTATTGCTTTATCCAGTTTTTTTATAAATCTTATCTTATTCAATTCAGACTGCAAATGTAAAACAAAATGACTTAAACATCACACTTTATCATTGAAAACAAATCTGGATATTACCTTAAGTAAATCCCACAATTATTCATTTATCCATGCTATTACTTATTTATTTTTTTTATTAATGTGGGTATTTTATAATTATTTTTTTCAAGATTGCATTTTTTTTATTGAGCATATTCTCAGTCTAGACTACTGTCTAATGTACTTCTTTTAATGTACTGCATTTTGTTACTGATCCAAATACAAAAATAAGACTGCAAGCTCAAACAAAACACTTTCTGTTGCCGTGGTGCAGTCTATTCAGTCACACTGAATAGCACTTCTACTTGATTTATTGGATGAACTGAGCATCGTAGTACTATGGGGAGCAATAACGCTCATCCTCAGTTATTTTTTTGGAGAGTGTGAAGGAGCCAATAAGTGCTGCTACCAATGGGGGAGTATTTGCTGAGGCCACCGTGAGAGATCTCCAGCACACACTAGGAGACAGATATGTGACACTTTGTGTTTGGGTTGCGTTTTACAGCTGGTTTTCATGCATATAAGGGGGCTCTTAAACAGCCTGTCTAGACAACTTCAAGAAATGCGACAGTTCAGACGCTGATAAACTCCCAGTTCAGAGCTCATTACAGAAACAGACAGACCCTCATGTGTGATATCACAGCGGTACGGCATTTAAAAGACCATGCATCAACCGCATTAGTGTAGACATAATAACAGCTCTTCTTGTTCTGATTAACCACTGCTGGAGGCAGAAGGAAGCCCCCATTAAACAGGAAGTGAGATGAGAGATTCCTCAAGAATGAAGAAATGCAGGTTTGCACACTCTAGGTGGAGGAAAATCTCCCTTAATGCTAGAGTAAACACAGTAGTTCCAGAGAATTACCTTTTGTTCCTGATATTAGGTTGTACGCTTCCTTTTTCGTACTTAAAGTTTGTTTTTGCAGTGAATTTTGTCTTAGATTCAACATTCAGTGGCGATGTTGTTTGGCGTGTCTTCCTCTCTGTGGTGTGTCAGTCCTTTATTAAAGAGTACCTGATTCAGGGCTACATTTAAAGTCTAGCTGCTTTAATTGACATGAATGTACTTTTCAACTTTTCAGAGAGGGTCTCAGTTACTGTTATTATGCTGAAACCCTGTCCGAGGAGTTTTATTGCTAAATTCATCCTCTTCAAACGGTTATAGCTCCTAAAAAAAACTATTTAAAAAAACTGGTTCCTGTACTAAAAACAATGCAGTTTTATCATGATTAAAAACCCTCTTAGAGCAGTTTTATCTCCAAATTCATCCTCTTTAAACAGTTTATCTCTTAATAAAATGTTTTTTTAATTATATTGTGTATTTTGATAGTCTCTCAACACATTTCCAAATTTGATATTCATGATGCATCCCTAAAGGCCCATTCACACCAAGAACAATAAGGACACCAACGCATGATAATAACGTTGTTTATTATAAGCGCACACTGCATTTTTGTCGTCTGCTGCTTTAAATCCTCAAGCTCGTTAAAGTCGAGTGGATTGGCTGTGTTTTTATCATTCATCAGCTTGAAAAAAATGTTCTGAAAGTTAGTACAATTGTTAGAACAATATCATTGGAATGTGGACTTCACTATTCTCATAGAATTAGAACAATTATTAAAACTTTGTAGATATCATTTATGAATTATCGTCTTTGGTGTGAACTGGCCTTTATTCTTGCCTGATAGTATTATAATTTTTTGTCTTTCTTGCTATGTGAGTGAAGTGTCTGTGATGGTAATCGTGTGTGTTGTGTCTGTATGTGTGCAGTGTACACCTGTAAGCTCTCAGAGGAAGAGCACCCTCTCTTCCTGCGTCTGGTGGCGGGACCCAGTACAGACACACTCAGCTTCGTCCTGAAGGAGCAGCAAACTGGTGAAGTCATGGTGAGCATTCGATTTCGGTTTCTATCTGAATCGTATATTAATAAAAATAAGCAATCATGACACACATCTTCCTCTCGTTCATCAGTGGGACGCCTTTTCCATCCCCGAACTGCAGAACTTCCTCCGCATCTTGGAAAAAGAGGAACAGGACCAGATTTGCTCGATAACCAGACGCTACAATGCCTACAGAGAGAAACTGGAGGAGGTCATGAGAGCGACGGGCGGACCGGGATAAAGCCAACATGTTACGAGAAGGAACTGTAGCACTGCTGCCTCTAGTGGTCACTGTGTGTAATGAACACTTATTAGGCGTCACCGTGCCAAGCGGACACCCAGTCTCAGAAACTCAGAGGAGAGCACTGAGCTCCCAGAATGCACCTCAGGTGCCATATTTACCCATCTACCCTCTTTCACACTTTCAGTTGTTTCTCATGTTCTCTGTTCTTTTACCTCTTGTGAAAGATGCAAACGTGAAAATCAGATCTGTTTTTTTATTTAATTGTTGGATTCTGTGGTTTGTACATATTTCGGTTTGTTTTAATTTATGTGGGTGAATTTATAATTTTTTTATTTTTTTTTATTTTACTAAAAGAGTCAAATATACTTGTTGACCAGAAACTGGTGGGATTTATTTTATTTTATTTTATTATATTTTAGATGAAATACAAAATGACTCATAGTGTGCCCTACCAAAGATAGTGTTGATGTGCTGTTGACAAAATGATAACCTGATGGCCACATGAGTTCAAACAGACAGGAAGCGCATGTTTGTGATAGAGAAGATTGAATGTGGTGATGTAGGGACAGGAAATGAGGACTAAAGCAATGTCATAAACATTGGTCTCTGAACGGATGGCTTAAATGCAAATAAAAACCTTTTTAAATCAGAGAAAAGGTAAGCATGCTTAGGTGATGTGCTGGAATTGGAAGATTCAGGAAGTTGCCGAAGGAGCATAGAGGATGTTGGAAAGTATGCGGGAAGTGTCATGCAGCGGTTTTGAAACAGATCTGACTGATGTCGGTCGGGGTCAGATGGTCTTATTCAGTGAATTATGGGTCGTGATGGCCTCTAGTTTAAGCAGATATTTGCTGTTCACCTTTCGTCATCAACCCTGGAAAATGCGTTAGAGAATATCTTCAAGATAAACGACTGAATATACAAGTAATGAAGATTGTTTGTTTTGAAGCTACAGCCTGAAAATAGTAGATTTAAGCTAGTTTTTTTGGTGAATATAATGTATAATCACACTGATCTGATTTACTGTACCAAAAGTAAATTTCACGTGCATTTCTGCATTGTATGGAGATGTAGCTGAAACTGTTACTGTTGTGAGGTACAGTAAAATAAATGCAGACAGTGCTTCTTTGTCACAGCACACAAGGTGGACATTAATGACGGTGTTTGAAATGATACTTGTGTATCAGTAGATGATTTAATATGTATACACATTTATATTTCTGTGTGCTAGTGCTGCATGACGGTTTTCTGATTGGTACTGCAACATTATTGTCTATTGTGACACATGCATAGCGAGGTAGCTGCACCTTGTGGTCAACCACTGTAACTACATCTCTGCAGTCTTATGTCTCACCTGTGTCAGTTCATTCGAGTATTTTAGACACAGATTGTGTGCTTTTTAAAGATTTATTTCTTTATTATTATTGGTTTTATAACCTCTAACCAAAGATCTAGATAAAATGCATAGTTTAATTTAAGTTTGATGTAAATTGCCTGGTGCAATCAGTTTTACACCGCAATAAACTGAGGTTAAATTACAGTATCTATCTTGTCTGGTGGTTTTACCATGGCAACTTTAATTGTAAACACTGGGGTGAATATAAATTAGAGTAATTAGTGTAATTGTTGTGTGAATATAACGTCACGACAGTCTCAATATATGCAACCGAAGAGGATTTTGCAGGGGAATAAAACCAGTAATCTATAAATGATTTTTGGGCACTTTATGTTTTAATTCAGGGAATTATTTTTGTTTTATTAGTCTTCATCAGATGCATATCGTCTTCCACTGTTTTAAAACGGCATTGCATCTAGTGGAAGCTCAGTTGTTTTATGGAAGTGTTTTTTTTTTTTTTTTTTTGAATCTTTTTTACTTCTTTTTTTTTTTTTTTTTAAGCTGTTTTAGTTTTTTTTTTTTTTTTTTTTTCATAAACAAGCTTTTGTTTGTAGAGTAAGACTGTGAATGAATGTTAAACTATATTCGTGTAGTAAAGGGGTGTGGATGTGAGTAAACTGCTGCAGTAATTTTGAGTATACATGCATGTGTTATATTAATTCATGCATATTTTATGGCTGTTTTAGGAAATCACAGGCCAGAGCCGTTGATCTTTCTGTTTAACAGCATAGTTAGAGATCGCTCACAAAATACACTCTGCATTTGCCAAAAATTCTCATTTTGTTCCACAGTTGTAAGTTACATGCATATTTTGGGGATGTTTATGATATAAGTTTCATACATAGAAGAAGGTGTCAAAAGTGGCATACATGGATGAACATTGTTTTTGAGAGGTTTGGACTAAATATGCATTGTTAGAATCCAAATGAATCCAGACGTCATGCATCTTTGACAATGACAGAGGTTTTTTTGAGGGTTTGTATTGTCACCGATTGTGGCCTTTATTGTTAAAGACCTGGTTTCTCTAAATAAAACTTTAAAGAAAAGTTTCCCGATTCACTGCATTTGTCGTCTGTGCGGAGAAACTGGCTCAGTGTCCGCTTGGATCATGCTGTAAAAATCCACCCATGAAAACTTGATCTCACTTTTGACAAGCTCAAAATGCTGGTATTTCTAATTATCTGCAACTCAGTTGTCATTAAACACAATTTTTATCCAAATTGCACAACCTACTTGCAGTTTTCCTCAAATGGTCACACAATGGCGGTTGCACCAACCGTTCAGCTCATTTACAAGCTTTCAACATCACACGCTACACTGTAAACTGTAAGTGAGGCCACAATTCACATGTGAATGCTGTGCCCTCTGCGTGAACCCGTGTTAATGTACTCAGCGCGGAGCTCATCGAAGACTCACCGCACGCGCGTCTTCTCTCATGGCGTCCGTGGACACACGCTGAACTTTATACAGCTATCAGAAAGACTCGCGACGCAACCATGTAAGTTTACACAAGTTATAAAGACCGAATATCGTATTTAAAAGACCTTGGGCGTAGTGCCAATACAAACGTTCGCTTTGGATAAATAAACGTGGTGTTTTTAGGCGCACTTCACATTCTCTTCACGAGGGAAAGCGGTCAGCTGTCGCGAATAACGCGTTATTTAGTAAGAAAATCGCGTTTCTTTTGTGATTTCGCATCTTTTGTGTTAACGTCTGATGTACTTTTGATTATGTGATGTTCCTGTTAGGAGGGAACTGCCTCAAAATCCTTTAAAAATATAGTTACATTGAACATGTTCACCCAGAACGTTATGGCATATTTTGTTTGGCTATAACCGCCTAAATGCCTCATTATAATATTTAGTTGAATAGAATATTTATATAAATAAATAGCATGTTATTATATCAATTTATATTTGAATTAATCAAAATATTACATTTAATTTGATTAATATTATTAGTAACACTATTTTTGTTATTATTTTGCAATTTCTGTCATTCTGAATGCCAGGATTTGTTTTAGTTAAATATAATTCTTTAAATAAATATTGTTATTATATCAGTATATTTCAGTATATGGGTAAATCTTAAATATGTGGGGTTCAGAGTTATTTTAGTATCATTGAGAAATTGTGGTTTAATACTATTGTAGTTTTTATTAATATTTTGATTTTGTTTTTTAGATTTACATTTCCATTTTTATTTTAATTAAAGTTTTTGTAAATTTGTTGCGTTTTGTCTTTTTATTATTGAATATGTCTATTTAATTTATTACACTTTTTACTTGTTATTTATTATTATTATTATTATTATGATTTTAGTACATAAAGTAAAAAAATGAAAATGTAAAAAATATATATATAATAAATAAGTTATAAATTTTTTTTTTTTTTACTTATATTAACATTTATTTTATTTCAGGTAACTAACCTTTTTTTTATTTTATTTTTTTTATTAAATAATTGTAGTTTTTGTTACTTATAATTACCTTGTTGGTTTTTAGATTTTCCATTTTTATTTAAATTTTAGTTAAGGTTTCAGTAATGTGTGTGTGTGTATGTATAATTTATCAATATAAATAATAAAAAATACTTTTAAGCAAAAAATAAAAACAGCATTTAAAAATTATTTCAGAATGCTTTTATCAGTCAAACACAAAAAAACAAAAGTTCACACCAACCTTTGCAATGCTACTAACAAATATAATGAAAGAATTATGTGCAAAACGTCATTAACCATGTCAGACATGTTGATCAGACTGGAAAGTGCTTCACTGAACAGATATATTGAAGTATTGTGAGAAAGAACTGCTTATGGCTGTCTGCCACCTCTCAGATCATTTTGGGTGATTTGAGGTATTGCCAGAAGATTGATGAAGGTTAGGTAGTATTCTGAAAGTAAAACAGTCCCTTAATGCCTCAAGTTTGGGTTGCTGTAAGTGAGAGCAAAGCAACAGCAACCCACCGCAGGATTTCCCTCATAGAACCAAAAATACACAGGTTCATCAATGACCTGCTGTGATCCACACCTTTGGCTCATTCACAACTGACATCCGTCAAACACAAAACTCAGAAAAGACAATAATGAAATGCTAAATACAATATTTGCACTTAGCGAATCAATTAGTTGTGGTATAACTCAAGTGAAATGTCTGTCCAAACACAGATTGTGCTGCCATATGGGTTAGGAACCAAAAAGTGAGAGAATATTTTTATACAACAAGATATTTTGTGCATTAAAAATATTGTAGTTCACTATCATATGCAAGTACATTTCTGCTATGGGATAAAATGACAAAAATGGTAATTGCAACTTTTAATCTCACAATTTGAAAATCAGAATTGCAAGATATAAACTCACAATTCTGAGAAAAAAAGTCAAAATTGTGAGTTTATAACTCGCTTTTATTATATAAAGTTGCAATTCCGAGAAGTCCGAATTGTGAGAATTCTGAGTTTACATCTAGCAATTTTGTTTCAGAATTGTGAATTTATATCTTGCAATTCAGAGGAAAAAAAGAAAAATCCAAATTGTGAGATAAAAAGTTGCAATTATTATTTTTTTTTTTATCCCATAGCCAAAAACAAGCTTCCATTATAAATGCTTATCATAAAAGGCAGGCTTGGTGCAGTTGTAAATATTTTTATAACTGAATATGTGGAGCGAAATGTTTCAGACACATCTGGCAAACAAACAAGTAATCCAACAATTTGAGTGCATTACAAAATTCGAGCTTAAGTTCAAAACTGTGCATGTGTTTAAAGCAAAAGTAAAACAAAATCTTCAAAATGAGTAAACTTAAAATAAAGACAATATTCTGTGTTATTGTTAAAGCAGCAAACTGAACATTAATTGAGAATAAAGAGGAATATGATGTGAATGCTCTCACAGATGTGTGTCAGCTGGCAGTTTGTGATGTGAATGAGGGCTGGAGGGGATGAAGGCCGTCCTGTCTGTGAGTGTCTGTGGTGTGTTTGGTACCCTGGGCGCACCCTGATGACCTCATCAGAAGAGGAGAGACTGGGCGTCTTTGGGGGAACGTCAGGATATAAAGGCAACAATAGGGCTTGTTTTTCAGTGCCCTTTATTCTTTCCCTCCATTAGTCTTCTTCCTGTAAACCTCTCCACGCTCTACTTCAGCGTCTGTCGTCGTTTGTTTCTGTGAGGCACGAGGCTGCTGAACATCAACTGAGGATCAAACCTAAACCTGGTGAAACGGTGACAAGCGAGACAAACTACCATGTTAAAAATAATAATAATACAGCCATTCCCAGTGAATGCTGATTGTTGAAGTGTTAAGGAAGCACTGACAGTGAGTCGTAGACGCCTGGCGTTCTGCAGGACTGTCCCGAGCAGGACTGCAGCATCATTAGCCATTAAATAAAATATATTTTACATTTTTAAATTAATTGTTTTTATTTGAGTTATTTATTTATTATACTTGGCATTATTAGCGCCAGTTAGCTGTTGGAACCTCTAGATTTGATTTTTACCTCGTTATCATCAAATTCACAGTACTGTAAGTTGGCGGCCTGTGATACTGTGCGAACGCAGGCGTACGTGTTATTGTACGAGTCTTCACACACACAGTCAGGAAAACACTCCTGCAGAGAAAACAGCTGTGTTACAGCACTCTTTTTTTTGTGATTACTTTAATGTCTATTTATTTTTATAACGCAGACCCTCACCGAGACCCCGGGGCCCAGCAGAGGGCAGGCTGGGTCTGAGATGCTGCTTCCCTCTCCCTCATATTCCACCAGTACATCAGATCTCCACGTGCTGCTGTTCCCTTTTCCAGTCTGAGACACAAAGACAGCTCAAATGAAATGCAACCCCTTATTAATTATACTGAATGTGTAGCAAGAAACACTATAAAAAAAAATTAAAAAAACGTGCATTATGCCCAAATTGACCAAGAATGCTAATACTTAAATGCATTTTTTATTTATTAATTTTAAAGTTGATAAGTTCAAACAGAATTTACCATGATAGGAAGAAACGACATCCCGTCCATCTGAGTTTCATTGACGTTATATCCTGCGATGTCCAGAATTGTTGGACCCAAATCCACATTTGCGATAAGTAACTGTCAAAACAGATAAATTATTAATGACACATTTTGTTCATGTAAATATTTTATATATATATATACACTACCGCTCAAAAGTTTAGGATCAGGAAGACTTGTAATGTTTTTTAAAGAAGTCTCTTCTGCTCATCAAGGCTGCATTTATTTGATCAAAAATACAGAAAAAAACGGAAATCTTGCAAAATGTTATTACAATATAAAATATTTTATATAATATTTTATAATAGTGCAGCTGTATTTTCAGCATCATTACTCCAGTCTTCAGTGTCACATGATCTTCAGAAATCATTCTAATATGCTGATTTATTATTAGAATTATCAATGTGGGCAACAGTTAACAATCTTAACAATTTAACACATCCTTGCTGAATAAAAGTTTTAATTTCTTTCAAAAAAAGAAAGAATAAAAATGTACTGACCCCAAACTTTTGAACGGTAGTGTATATTGTTAGAAATTAGAAGAGGAACTCGGATATCAAATTCATAGAGTTGCCTCTTGTCCATCGGAAGAGAAAACTGGCCTGAGAGGAAGAAACAGGCACATGACAAAATAAAAGCTGGGTAAAGTTAGAGAAAAACCATTTCTCAATTATGTAACTCATCATGTACCTGTGTGGTATCCATTGTCGGAGGTGAAAATGATGTAGGTGTTGCTAAGCTCTCCTCTGACCTCCAGCTTTCTCACCACCTTCTCCACCAGGTCGTCTACTGATAGTAAAGTGCGCCACCTATTGGAACAGATCATCAGTAGCACATTACATCCTGTGCAGTATTAAAATATCAAGCGAGCGATTTAAAAGCATCTGAATACCGTTTTCTATAGGCGTTATCCAAGAACTCCACTGAAGAGTTTGTCATGGGTGTTTTTGCTTGTCTGATGAGCCAGTGCTTGTCCTGAAAAGCAGGTTGAAATGCTGTCAGATACTCAAAAAGGCATCCATTCAGAACATCTACAACACATCAGGCCCGTACCTTGCCGTGTATGTTAAAGTTAGGGTCTCTTGGTGCTTTAATGTTGGGAAAACTGCTCTCGTACTGAGGAGCGGCTGTCCAGGGCGAGTGCGGGGCCGGTGTGGACACCATCATGAAGAAAGGCCTGCGGTTAGACTTGTTTTCCAGGAAGTCAATGGAAATATTGGCCTGGATGGAATCAGAAGCTACTTAACATCAGTTACATGAGGTTTGATGTAGTCTCGTGTACACAGGTGAGATCTGCTCTTACCAGAACATCTGTAAGGTAATCCTCACTGTAGTTCTGTCCATGCCGCTGCGCCCTGCCATTCACAGACAGTGTGTAGTTGTAGTATCTGGAGTTTCTCTCCTGTAGGAATATGTTAAAATCATCGCGGAGATTTCACTCTAAACAAATCTGATTTCATAAACTTGTTTTAAAAAAAAATTCAAACAAGTTTCAAAACTTGTTACATTTTTTTATTAAAATCAAAATTACAGTAAAGAAATAAAAAATATTAATATAAAGGAATAAAAGAATTAAAATGAAGGAATACATTTTTTTTAAATAAATATTTCAAACAAAAATGAATACATGTAAAACATAAAAAAATATTAAAATGAATGGAATTTTAAAAATATAAATAAACAAAAACATATATTTTACTGGTCTTTAAAAAAAAAAGCTTTATCTGTTTGGCTTCCATGATCCATGTAGCTTCACACAAAAACCTACAATCTGCTCTCAATGAGTTATGAATCATAGGAGCTGCTAATCAGCAAGGTTCTTTCTCTTCTGGATTCATTTCTTGCATGAGTTCTTGTACCAGCTTCACAAACATGCTATATTTTTGGCTACAGACTGTTTTCCTAACCTTCCAGTTAAAATGAGACCTTTGCAGCACTGATGGGAAAGGTTGAAGGGCTTGTCAATGTGTTCCAGCTTGTCATTTCTCTACTATGATTTAGCAGAGAAGCTGGAACACACTGTCAAGCCCTTTTAATTTTTTAACCTCTTTATTTTAATTCTTTTATTTCTTTTTTATATTCTCTTCAGTTAATTTTTTTTTACTTTATTTATTTATTTTCTATGTTGTCTTCTACTAGTGATTCTCAAAGTTAAGCCACCAGGCCTCTTCTTTATGTTTTAATTATAAACCATTATAGGTTTTATTAATATTTTGAATTAGCTTTCATTTTTGTTTTCATTTTAATTTTAGTTTATTTGCTTTTTTAATTAAAACGACAACTTATCTGCACTAGAGCATCCAGTGTACTGTACATGACAACCCTAAAGCTCTGGTAAAAGCACGATCTTCTGACTTTTTCTTACCAAGGCGAACCAGTGATCCCATCCCGGAGGGACATGCTCCACTCCTCCTGCTTTTTTACTGCCGTACTAAAGCAGAGAAACAGATATGATGATTCAAGGTGATGTACTGTCAACTGATTCACATCTATGACTGCAGGTATATATAGACTATAAAATGTTTTCCACCCTAAAGGAAGGGTTTCAGCATTGCAAAAGCTCCCAGTTTGTGTCTTTACCTCGTTCAGATACTTCCCAGCAAAGAAGGTCTGATAGGTGCCGTGTTTCTGAAGGAAGGCAGAGAAGGTCTCGGGCTCTTGGGTCTTCTGCCATGCAGTGCTGCTGCAGTTGCCCTCCAGCGTGTTGTTGACCACATGATGGTTATGAGGGTATTTGCCCGTCAGGATACTCGCCCGGCTGGGACAGCAAAGGGGACTGGCGACAAACTGCATGAGAGAAGAAATGGCAAGGAGAGTTGGGAGATGCTGTGCAAAATTACAGATGCAATGGCAAACATGCATGCTGGTTGATCCACAATGCACATTCTACTTGATATCCCTAACAAATCTATAATTATTCTTATTTAGAACAATATGAGGGCTTTTTAAGCTTACAGTTCATGCCAGATCCAATAGCACTTGTATGCAACAAGGGATAGATCCAGCACAATTTCTACTTACCGTGTTTGTAAAGGTTATCCCAGCATCACCTATCAGCTTTTTAGTCTTCACTAAAGGCATCTGTACAATAAAAGATGGCAAGATGCTGATTAGCTCGTTTACTTAGCAACGATACATTTTTTTTTTTATTGCAAACAATTCAGAGATGACATTAATGAAATACAACTTTGCATTCATTACACAATGTATCAACAATACATCCAATGTCATCTGAACATATGGAAGAGAAGAGAAGAAAAAAAAAGTTGACAATGACTGTTAAAAGAGAAAGATGCATTTAAATAGCTTTTTTATGAACATAAAGGCAGGAACGAAAAACAAAACAAAAAAAACACCAAAACAAGTATTAATCACGGTACATAAAAGATCTCATCATATCTCTTCAAAAATGAAATACATTTTTTGTTATTAATTACTCTTAGTGATCTTAGCAACGATACATAAAGTGAAATGCATGGAGGAAATTACGACCACAGAGAATGACAACAAAAAAAACCCCACTTTCTTAGAAAATATACTCACCATTCCGCCAATGGAGACATCCAGATCATCAGTCAAGATTAAAACAATATTCGGTGTGGGATTCATTTTAGCCTCGGCCAGACTGTTACAAAGCAAAGTGACGCAGATGAGAATAAAACGTAATATTACTAACGGAGACGAAACCATCTTTGACGCCGAATTAAAAACAAATAAAGCCATGACCTAAACGAGAACCTTTATTTGTGATAAAAGCATGAAATACTGTTAAGGAAAACGCTCCTTCAGAGGAACAGTTAGCTTGCCTTGTCTAGTGTATGAAATTGCGAATCATACTATGGCGACATTTTTGCCTCATGAATATTAATTACACATTCTGACGTTGCTCGGTTACCTCTTGAGGCGTCTAGTCACGTCGCCTAATTTATATTACCTACAGCATAGTAGGATTCGCTAATTCGCCAGAAGACTGACGCCCACCTACCAACGTCTGCCGCACAGCCAATCAGATTCCAGCCAATCCCTTAGCGTCATTAATATTCATGCTCATGCCCGTCGCCATAGTAGGATTAATAAATCATGTTTCAGTCATGAGGAGAGACGGAAGACTCGGTCAGCTGATGTTTATGCTCAAAGGCATGATGTCATTCATAAAATTCATGTTTTATGGCTTATGTGATCTGTACCACTTAAACCTCCACTAGTTTACAAAAGTTGTATATTTTAATAATATACGGTACAATAATAATGCAGTTTTTCGCTTTAATTTAGACTTTCATGCAGTTGGTCAAGAAAACCAGAGAGGACCCCTTTAGACCCTATTTTTTTATAACAACATAAACATTTCTTAAATCATTTTTACGGTGAATAAATTATACCTTATACTCTAATCAAATGGAGTAACTTATTTTACCTTGGAAAAAAATATGTTTGAGAAACATTTAATAATAATTAAATTGACGTGTACTTAAATTAATTTTTATTAAATTAAAATAGTTTACTAAAATAAATATATTTTTTTCATCTCGGATATATCCTTATTTGTCAAATACATGATATATAAATTTAGTTTTTGCCAGATGCTTAACTAATGTAACGTTATTTATTTTGAACACCTTCATTTACAAACAATTGGATGTGTATTTTTATTTTTAAAATGTTATTGTTGTGAAATAAGTAAATGCTGTATATTTCTTATTCACCGGTTGTTTACAAACTTTGTTTAAAAAGTTTCGGAGGAGGGTTGAACTATTCCTGCTGCAGGGGCGTGCAATCAGGATTTAGACCGTTCAGGAAGACAACTGGAGCCTGGGTAAAGCGCTGCCAACCCCGCTCAAGGAATGGAACACACCCGGAACTCGAGTTCCTTATTGATTCATCTAAAACACTCTTTGGTTTGTACTTATGCGCAGCATGTGTGCACGAATGTGTAATGTTGAACTTTAAAGACGGCTAAAACATGTCTGGAGTGGAAGTGGCCAAAGAGGAACTTAAGGAGATAGACATCTGCTCGGAGGAGGAGAGCGGAGTTTTTGTCAACTCAGGTGCGTCGTACCTTGACGGCTTCTCAGCGTTTCACAAATGGGTTGCAAATGGACGTTCAGTATCTGATGGATACTGTGAGTGCGCCAAAACAGCTTCAGTCTCACTATCCAAGTGCGCTAAAGTGCCTCATGGAGCACCAGCTGGAGAGATCCGTATGGAGAGAGCAGGAGGAGGTGGAGGGGGGATCCATGAAGCAGGTGTGTATTCGGATGAAGAGGATCTGAGAGCGTCCCGGGCATCATCTATAGTGGACTGTCTGTTAGTGGAGCTCTATGACACATACAGTAATGGTGTCAGAGGAGTGGACAGCTCGACCGAAGCCTCCAGCTCAGAAGCCTTCCTGGGCAGGAGTAACACTGGCTCCAACTTCCTCCAAGAACTTCAGGAGAAGCACACGAGACGCCATCAGATGAAATACCTGGCTCAAAAAGGTGAGCACCACTTTCTTTTTCAAGTGAAGTCAATTAAATTCGATTCAGACTGTTAATTTATTCTTGTTTATGTTATTCATAAACTACCGTCCAGAGTTTGGAATAATTAAGATTTGTTTAAAAATACAGTAAAATCTGTTACATTGTGAAATATTACAGTTTAAGATAACCGTTTTATATTTAAATCTATTTTAATATGTAATTAATCTTAATTTTTCCAAACGTTTGATTGGTAGTATATGTGCATTATAAATATTTTAATAATTTACAGAATTTTTCCTTTTTTTTTAGAACCCATATTTATTTATATTTCAAATCATGCTATAAAAAAATAAAGTGTATATGTAGGTGTTTCTTTTTCTTTTACCTTTTTTTAATTTTTCATCATTTTTAGACTTTTTTAATTTTTTAAGCTTATTGCATTTAATTTTTGCTGTGCATTTGCATTTGGAGTGACATTACTCTTAAGTAAAATTAAAAGTAATATTCTCTCAATATGATTAGGTCATTTAAAATGGTTTTAGATGAAGTATAGTGTGCCACACTGTAGATATTGCCCAGATGCTGTATGAGAACTGACCCAGTTATAACGCCACTCTGAGAGCCAGTTAAATCTTAACCCTTTGTTTGCTGAAGTAATTTAATTGTTGTCTCAGGTGCTCAGGTTCTTTGTAGGCCATCATGACAATTTACATACAGAGGTCTTTTGTACATATGTATATACAGTGTTAAGTCAATCATAACGATCTTAATCTTTCTACATAAGTTCCATGTTTTGCATGCATGAATTTGATTTGTTGCATGCTTTTTTATTTTCTATCAAATGAATGCATATCGTTTAGCAACCTTTATTTTGTGCTCAGGTCCAGAGGAGCTGAAGTGGATCATTCAGGAAGTGAAGTATCGTATTGGTGTGCAGTCGGCCAAACTGGTGCGTCAGGTCAAGAGGAAGGACAGACTTCGGCAGAAGTTTCAGAAGAACTGTGATATAGTCACCGCCTGCCTGCAAGCCGTCTCTCAGAAAAGAAGTAATTACAAATCATTCTCTCATTTCACTCCTCTTGTGGTCATTATTGCTTTGAGCAGTGTTAAATTACCCAAGGCCTTCTTTGCTATTTGAAGACTAATGTATTCCAGATCGAAAGCATGTCTTCGCTTTCACTGACGCTTGATGTCTGTTATCCTTCAGCTGCTTTAAAGGAATAGTTCACCTAAAAATGAAAATCTTCTGAAAATGTCCTCACCCTCAGGCCATCCAAGATGTAGATGAGTTTCCTCGTCTGAATCAGGAGAGAAATATGCACAGATCAAGCACCATTTACAAGCCAAAACAGTTCTAAACATATCACAAGATGTTAATTGATGGACTGGAGTGGTGTGGATTACTTGTGGATTATTGAGATGTTTTTATCAGCTGTTTGGACTCTCATTCTGACGGCACCCATTCACTGCAGAGGATCCACTGGTGAGCAAGTGATGGAATGCTACATTTCTCCAAATCTGTTCTGATGAAGAATCATAATCATCTACATCTTAGATGGCCTGAGGAGGAGTAAATTTTAAGAAAAGTTTCATTTTTGGGTGAAGTATTCCTTTAAAAGGGTGTGTAATATAGTTTACATAGGTAGCCGTTGCCGAAAAACTCAGGCTCACATATATCAAATGCAACAGGATTGACTCCTCCTCACCTTTACAACTGAATTATTTGCATTAGATTCAAAACACAGACTCCGTTCAATATCACTGAAATTCAATCCATTCGGTTTCAGAGCAGACACATTCATGTAATGAGTTTATGACACTGACATGTAAATTAGCACTGTAATGTTGTTGAACTACTGAACTCAAATTTGGATTTGGATTTTGCTCGCAAATTAGTCATTGTCCAGCAGTAATTCCCTTACACATTTAGATGAAATGGGTGCTTTTGTTCATATATTTGGTTCAGGCACGTGCATGTCCAACAAATATAGCGGTCTTGCATCTTTTAATGTCTTTTTCCTCCATTTTATCTACATGCAGCATGACAAGCACTGTCAAACAGGTACAGTATGAAATCACATCAAAAGCATTACTCTACATGGTTGCCGTTCAGCAGTCAATGTCTAATCTTAATGCAAGAGGAGACACTTTGTAGTTGTCAATGGTTATGATTCAGTTTTTTTATTTGTTGACATGTTTATTTTTGTAAACATGAGTAGCACGGTTTATCACTGTTGTTTTCTTATTAAAATGCATGTCAGAAAATATACTAGAAGGCTTATCATTCAATGGAAAAATATACATTTTCCATATCCAGGACTATTATTACTTTATTTTTTTGCCTGAAAATTTTAAACAACTGTTTTGTGTCTCTCGTTAGTCACATTAAGGGTGTTCTTCTTCATAGGGTTCAGGTAAATTGGGAGACTTTTGGACAATCATATAATGTTAATGATCGAATTTACCTGATTTTACTCTATTGTCTGGATAGTTACTTGAATTTGGAATACACTGTCATTTAGCATAAAATGAGAAAACCTGCTTTATGACTAATTTTTCCTTATCTCTTTCACTAATAATTAATCCCTAAAATAACATACTCCTTTCTCTGTGTTCCTTAAAGTACAACATTTCCTTTGTAAATCATTCAGATCGCTTGTATGACTGAATTTATGGCAATTTAACCATTTTATCCTTATTCTTATCTCAGGATTTTACACTTATTGGGTCCTAAATCAAGACTCATCTGTTTACTCTTAGATTTTTCTCAGTATCTTTATTGGAATCTACGGCTCCATGAAGAACCTTTGACATTCATAGAATCTTTCCATTCCACAAAAGGTTCTTTAGGTTTTTAAAATGTTCTTAACACTAAGAAAAAATTAACACTAAGAAGAAATTCTTTTAAGAACTGTTCACTAAAACCAAACATTTTTGGGGGGAACCAAAAATAGTTCTTCTATGGCATTTCTGCAACAACAACAAAAAATTTTGATAGTACAGTACATGGTATTTTATTTCCTTATTCCTTGCTGTTAAAGATTAAGGCTAAAGTTGGAAGCATGGCACTAGTCATTCATGTACAGGCCATTGTTTCTGGTCTCTAGCCCATCCTCCAGAGCTCCAGCGGTCCCTCCTCCCTCTCAACCCCGAATATGACGCTCATATGTGGGTGTAGACACGCGCATTACGGCGATATTCCGCCTCTCCCATCCTCCGCGTTCTTTTCGATCGCCTTTGATGCTTTTATTCCATTTATAATTCATATGCCTCAGGTACAGACACGCATCTTCACGTATGAGGATAAAGGATGCTCAGATGTGTTGTTTTTCTCTGATTTATTGATCAGGTCGATCATAACGAGTAGGAGGATATTTTTTAGATGAGATGGTTCTCGGGATGAGATCGTTGTAAATGCGCGGTCAAACGGACCTCTCAGGTTTTTCTCCAGATGAAGCAGGAAAGGTTTGTTTCCTCTAAGAGGTCGAGGGTTTGTATGAAACGGCAGAATGCAGCTGGAGGAGTCGGTAATATTATCAGTAATGTGCTGAAGAAACGCAACGGCATCTCTAGAAGAGCGCCGCGCCTGCTATGCACCCTAGAGCCAGGTGAATACAGCATGCTTTAAAATCATTCATTTTATTCATTATTATTGGATAAAACTGTTCCGAGGATTTCCTCCGCCCATTTATTTGCACTGGTGTTGAATGTAGAATGGTGTTTTTGTGATAATTAGATGACCTAAAGGGCCTTCCCATTTTATGTCAAAACCGCATAAACACATTTCATTACACCAAATACACAACATAATGTTCTTTTTAGCAACATCATATGATCCCTTTAATAAAAGAAATGGCTGTATCGTGGTCAGTAGACGATGTGGTGGAGCAACTATAACGGTCAACTATAACAAGTCGTACCACGCAGTGGAAAAGCGCCACTAGATACCTATAATCTCTGTGAATTTATTTATTTTTTGATGTATTTATTTTTGCCTGTTTTTTGAGGAGGCACAAGAGACAGTCCTGGCTTGGTACCCTAATTTTAATTTAATTTAATTTTTAAATATTTATTGCCATTTTTATTAATATAATTTTTCAGTTTTATTCATTTAATTATATATATATATATATATATATATATATGTGTCATGCATGATTTTATTTTTTGTTTTTTGTTTTTTACATCAATTGAAAATGTAATAATATTTTACAATTTTATTTTTCTATTTAGTAATTACATGTTTAATTTAACTTTTTTTAATTAATTGTAAAATATTTAATTACATTTTTAAAATGTTATTTGTTTTTTATTTGTTTTATATTTTATTGTTTTTAATATTTAATAATTATTTAATGCATTCATATTATTGCAAGATATTATATAAGCATTTTATTCATTTAATTATTTAATTATATATATATATATATATATATGTCATGCATGATTTTATTTTTTGTTTTTTGTTTTTTACATCAATTGAAAATGTAATAATATTTTACAATTTTATTTTTCTATTTAGTAATTACATGTTTAATTTAACTTTTTTTAATTAATTGTAAAATATTTAATTACATTTTTAAAATGTTATTTGTTTTTTATTTGTTTTATATTTTATTGTTTTTAATATTTAATAATTATTTAATGCATTCATATTATTGCAAGATATTATATAAGCAAGAAAATATGCAAAAAATCAATATCCTTTATCATTGTGTTTTGAAAGGTGATGATCTATTTGATCGATAAAGTGCTTCCTGATAGTTACTTTGCCAATAACCTGCGTGCCCTCTCAGTGGACATGGCTGTGTTCAGAGATCTGCTGCGACTGAAGCTTCCAGAACTTTCTCAGCAACTCCACCATCTCCAGAAAGTAGCCAATCGGGAAGGAGGAGGTGTGTAGCAACTCTGTGTGTATATATATGGATGCAAAAGAACAATGTCTATTCCAGGTCAACTGCATTGCGTTGGCATTGTGTTTCAGGCAGCTATGAGCCTCCGCTCACCAACGTCTTCACCATGCAGTGGTTTCTGACCATGTTTGCCACTTGTTTGCCCCATCACACCGTTCTGAAGATTTGGGACTCGGTCTTCTTTGAGGGCTCTGAAATGCTGCTGCGTGTAGCTCTCGCCATCTGGGCCAAACTCGGAGAGTAAGTTCATCAATCATCTGTCCATGACAGAGAGTTGTAGGATAGGCCAGATTCCAAAGAAAAATGTGATCATAAATTAAATATGAGATAATTTTCAGCTTGTATCAAGCGTTCTGCATCTCTCTCTCTCTCAGGCGAATTGAGGAGTGCCAGACTGCCGATGAATTTTATAGTACTATGGGCTGCTTAACACAGGAAATGCTGGAACACAACCTTATCGACTCCAATGAACTCATGCAGGTAAGACAGAGCATATAAAAGATCATGAATAATTCATGTCCTTAATTATATATAAACCTTATCATATAGATAAAACAACTGTAATGGCTTTAATGTTACAAAATAGTGTTTGAAAATGCTGGAAGTTTGCTTTTGGGGCTGAAAGTGTGTTTTCGTCCCGACAGACGGTCTACTCCATGGCCCCGTTCCCGTTCCCCCAGCTGGCTGAGCTCAGGGAGAAATACACCTACAACATCACCCCGTTCCCGACCCCTGTCCGAGCGAACAGCAGGTATGAGAGCTGAAGACACACAACACCCACAGCACAGATGGCATCCGTGAGAGTTTAGTAGTCATAAACACGTGAACATCACAGCAGGGTGCTGTTTTATGGCACATGTGTGTATATTGGCATGCAAATATCGAATGCAAATGTTCTGCCTTGTCTTCACAAGCTTTAAGCTTTATGCTTTATACTTGACTTAATTATTTTTAAAGAAGAGATGTAGGCAAGCAGCAATGCAATAATAAAACAATAAAAAAAATTATTGTATTTTTCTCTGTTAAAATGTTTATTTACATATTATTTAATTACATTATTTTTAATATTTTTTTCTTAAATTGTTGATGTAATTTTATATTATTATTTTTAAAATATTTTATTTTTGTGCAATATTTTAAAAATAACTTTATTTTTCGATTTTAATTTCAGTTAATTTACTGTTTTATTGTAATTTACATTTTATTTTTGTTTTTCTGTTTTATTTTAAAATATTTCATTACTTTTTAGTATAATTTTAGTGTAATTAAATAATTTTAGTGCAATTAAATGTATGTAAATACGTTCTTTAATTATTTTTGTGGTATATATAATTGTTTTATATTTTATTTCATGCATGGTTTCATTTTATCTTTTATGTATGCATCTTTTTTATTTTAAAATATTTAATACCATTTTTAAAAATATTATTTTTCACTTTTATTCATTCACTTAATTTTTTTTTTTTATATATAAAATTTTACTTCAAGTTTTATTACTTTAATTTTTTGTTTCTATTTTTACAAATGTAAAATTATTTTTATTAATAAATTAAATTATTTTACATAATGTAGTAATTTGCATAATTTAATTATTTAATTCAATTCAATTTATTTATTTATTTGTATTTTAAAAAATGTATTACTTTTTATATTATAATGTATAATACTTTATTTTATGCATGATATTTTCCCATGTATAGTCTGGCACTCCATGGATGGGAGAGTGATGATGATGCTGACATGGATGATGAAGACTCTATTGTCACTGCTCTGGGTTGCCTGGGGCCTCTTGGAGGACTTCTGGCTCCTGAGATCCAAAGATACCAAAAGCACCTTAAAGGTTTGTGTCTAATTAACTTTCATAAGCCAAAAATCTACTTTCGATTTAATAGTGCAGCCTATGAGGTTACAAATGTCACTCCTGCTCCATGATTTATATCCTGCTGAACACAGGAAATGATCAAATGCACAAGATGTTTCATTTAATGATTAGCATTTTTTGAGTCCCTAAAGCTGTATTGGCATTGTCAGAGTAAGGGTGATCTCACGGAGTAATGCAAAGATGAGCTCAGTGTAGCTCACTCTGCCAACCTAACCCTGGCAAATCCTTCCCAATCCTGTCTCAAATGGTTTTAATTCCCTCAGTGCATTTGTCAGTTCTTGAGGTACGTCGAGTTATTCCAGCAGTCCTTAATTACAGCCTTCAGTTCCAGTGCAACTAAACAAATGAAAGTTTTGGAAAAGAGCCAGCGCAGCGTTACTCAAGTAAAATGTATAACAAATATTCTTACATTTTGATTTTGGATGTTTTCTTTGTGTTTTCATCTGTTCTACAGATCAGAGAGGGGAGCAGAGCTCTCATGGCAGTAACATGGCCGAGCTCAGTCCCGGGGCGGTGGGTGCGGGACGGGCCGAGCACCAGGCGGCCATCAACAGCATGATGCTGGAGCGCATGAGCACTGACATCAGCGCGCTGAAGAAACAGTACTCACGCATCAAACAAAAGCAACAGCAGCAGACCGGACTACTGTACATCCATACAGGTAGCAGGATCTTCATTTTGAGCGTTTTACAGTTGTAGATGAGTTCAGGAGGTGACAGAAGGGATAGTATGTAGTGTTGGTCAGTGTGTTGTGACATTTTTCCCAGGACCTCGAGTGGAAGCTGAAACTATTGAACCTCATCAAGCCAGTAAACAGCAGAAGCACCACACTGGTACTGGTTTTTATAGGTCAACTATGGTTTCATTATAGATATGTGTTGCAGAGCTGTTTTGATCGGTGTCGGTCTGCTGCTGTATAATGCAATAAATCACACAATCATTTGGCATTTTGGTGACGGTTGAATTGATTAATGAAGGTTTTCCAAATCATGGGTTTTGCTTTGCAGGGAACTGGTACACGCTAAAGCTTGATAATTACTTTTTTTTAAATTATTCTTTCATTTCTTAAAATATTGGAGCATGTAATATTGCAATAGCACCTCTACAGGACATAATGGAGAATTAACGTCAACATAAATTTGAGAAATTCATAACTTCACACTATTTTATTTTTTTTTACATTTTTGTAATGATTTATTATACATTCTATTTTATATTATATTGAATTTATTATTTTTTTCAGGATTCTGGGATGAGTAGAAAGTTCAAGTCTTTACTGCCATTTTTTGGTTGAATTAAAAGATTCAAAGCATTTAATTAAAGGCATTAATTTCTTTTTAAATGAATTTATAATAGGTCGTATTTATTTTCAGGACACATTCTTATTTTGCACAACTCATAACTGCACATTATTTTAAAAATACAGAATTATATATACATTTGTAAAATTATTTATTTATATTATTTCTAGTAATTTATTATAGATTTGTACATATGTATGTAAGTGTGTATGTATATTATATATATATATATATATATATAATATTTATTATTATATTTAAATTATATATATTATAT